TCACTAAATATGCTAATTAAAAAAATTATCAAAAAAAAAATCATAATATTACCTACCTATTAAATAAAACATTTTTATTAGTAACAACACGATTGATGGCGAGGAAAACTAACACTAATTTTAAAATATTTATTTTCCATGAATAAAATAGATAAATCATACTAATATTTAAATTTAAAATTAGGTTTTTCTTTATTAAATTAAAAACTTACACCCATATTATATTATTATAAAAAAAATTGTCAGATATGAACTTTTAAATGAAAAATATGCAACTATAAATTTTAAATACAAACTCGCATTGATATGAAACAAATTTCTGTATTACTTAGCTATGTTTTAATGATTATTTAAAAACATACAAACTCCTAGAATAGAAGTCCCTATCCCTAATCATAATCATTATATGTGATACTTATAGGATACACAGGTTGACCCTAAAAACATCAAAAATGGCATAAAAAAATTTCAAAAGTGACCTAAAATAAATAAAAAATTTCCTTAAAATTATAAAAAAGTGAATATACATTTTTTTTTTAGTTTTCAAAATACAAATTATTAAAGCTATATATATAAATAATAAAATTGAATAATTATTATAATAATAAAATTTATAAAATTATTCAAAACATTTTTACATTGCACTATAAGAGCGTGTTCTTTGCCATCAAAATTAAATACACTACGATTATCGGTCAGTAAATATTTATATTTAGAAAAGCTTTCTTCCACGTCCACTGAAGTAATTGTAGCAAATTTGAAATGAGCCAAATATTCAGCTGATGACTGACAAATCAATTCCTGCGGACAGGGCTCTCTTCGGAGTCTTAATTATTAATTTATTTCGAGTTTTTACAAATTACTGCAGGAATACTACGTAATATTTCATTTAAACTAACGCAATTGTTGCTCTACGGAGTAACGTGATATTATTTTCCACGTTATTAAAATAATTATTTATGAATGTAGAATGTACATAGGGTTAGGTTAGGTTTCGAGGAAAATTAAAAATCAATTAAGTTTATTTACGAATAAACATACGTTTTAAATAACGTAACTAAAGTGATAAAAAAGATGTCAGATACGCGAATGTAATTAAAATAATAATATTTAATGTAACGAGTAACTTATTATGTAAAAGTATAACTGTTCAAAAGTAATTTGCCCAACACTGGACTAGCATATTAATTAATATACACCATTAATTAATATTTACCCGTTTTTTTTTTTTTTTTGTTACTAGAATATAAAAATGTACACAAAAATTTTATATTTGCTTTATTTTTATATTCAAAATATAAATTTGTAAGCGCCCTCATTAATAAATTGTTTTCTGAAATGTTTAAGACGCTGGTTTGTAGAATATATCAAATTGATGTACACCTATATGGGTATACCGTATACAGGTACATTTAGATAATTTAAGAATTTATGAACATTTATTGCTCCCAAAGATTCGGATTGCTTTATTATTATCATAGTTGGAACTACGGGGTGTGCCGGGTGTGCCTTGGCACACTCTAATGTAAAAAAAAAATGAATTAATAACATTTAATAATATACATACACATTAATTGAATTTCAATTTTTTATAAGTAAAACTGAAAGTGTTCAGAATAATTCTCTAAAATAATAATTGCGTGTATTTTTATCAATTGTTATTTTACATTGTTAATGAAGCCTGGATGTTTAGACTTTAAATCATTTCATCGTATTTATTTATCGGCCATCATTATTTCTTAAATTGTATTCAATGTTATTCTCGTTGACACGAAAACTTCGGCATAATTATAGAGGTCGATGCCAGACGGTGATAACAATTTCCATCGAAAAAATATCGCCTTCTCTCGGAAACCGACACCGAGCTGTATCGATGGTTAAGAAATAATACTTTGGTAGTTTCAAGTTTGGTATTTAATTTAACGTGATGTCGTGATTTGAGCAACTCACAGACACCAAAATTTATATTATCTTTAACTTTGTGTAAAACAAGTAACAACCACCTATGTCAAACAGGAATAAACGGTTAATGTTGAAGCTTCTGAAGGTTATAGAAGAATTTAAAAGTCTTGTGCCATTTCAAAGGCGATTGTTATTATAAAATATAAGTTAATACAATAAATTTAAATCATAAATAAATTATACTGGTGTTGTTTCAGTTTATTTAGTAATAAATATAAAATAATGATTTATAAATTAATATATTATAACATCAAACAATAAATTATCATAAGTAATGCCTACTTATATATTACATAGGATTAGGTAGTAATATAGCATATTATTCTATCAGCCAATAGCCATATAGGTAAATATTATAGTATACAATAAGTTAGACTCTAGGGGTCTCCAAACTTTTTTATTCAAGGGCCACAAAAAAATCAAATGCTCTTAGAGGGCCAAAAGTTTATTAACACATATAATTTTTAACTTTATGATAATATAGGTACCTTTATAAATAAAACGTTTACTTTATATTTGTGTATGGAAAATTGTTTACTTTACAATATACTTAAATAAAAATAAATAGGTATAAATATAATATAATATAAATACATTTTTGATATAATTTTTTATCTATATTTATCTATGCGTCCTATGCGGGCCGGTTAAAACTTGTTCGCGGGCCGTATCCGGCCCGCGGGCCGTAGTTTGGAGACACCTGAGTTAGAGGATTTGTTAGAGAACAAGGGCTGGATACTTAAAATATATTATTAAATTTAGTGAATTTTATATACTGTCCTATGATAGACATTTATGAGGTAAAAAAAATCATATTGCAGGTTAATTTGTCTATTGTCTCTGTATTCTAAAAAAACAACTAGAAAAAAGGCTGGGCACAATCAAATGTAAAACCCTGGGTCCGCCTATGATTATTATAAACGAGTTTTGACAAAAAGTTGGTCAAGAAAAACAGTGGCTAACGATTTCTACACTGTGGAATACCTACGATACTTACGAACGGGTTTTAATAGAGTACACGCCTTACTTTTTTTTTATTATGTTGGCAATATTGTATAAGTTTATTGTATAATTGAAAAATGTTTTGTAGCAATAATGTACTATTTTTTTTTTTTTTGCTGTTTATATTTAATTCTGAAATTCCAAAAACAATGTACCTACTAAACTAATAACATAATATTTGTATTGCCTACATTTATATTTAACCAGCATCGACGTTTTTCTCCGACATTTCTACAGTATAACTGTACAAGTGGTACCTACCTACCTCAGAATTAGTCCGACGGAATTGGTCTGTAGTCACTGTAGGTACTCACTTGTCATTATAGTCAACTTAGTCTAGTATTTGATACCTTCTCGTGTACGTGTATTATTTTCGAATTGTGGTTGGCAAAAATGTATATGTCTTAATGAGTACACGGCGTACTTTTTTTTTATTATTTTGGCAATATTGTATAAGTTTCGTAAAAATTTTTCTTTTTAAATCTAAGATTTGAAAATCTAATACAAGATTACTCATAAGATTGTCTACCTTTATCAATAAAAAAATTTCTACCGGAAAGTCAAATTAAATTTTTATGAGCGTTTGAAATTCAAATTTTTACAACATTGGATATTCACTCGATTTCTCATGTGGCAATTTCCTTTTTTTGTTGTAATTAAAAAACGAATTACTGTAGATACATGAAAATTTCACTGAATGTTTATATTAGCATTTCCTATACACCCTACAATTTTGAAAATATTTTGACACTTTTTGAGCCGTTTACGGACATTTTCAGTTTTCAATTTTTTTAGTTTTTTTTTTCTATAAATATCAATTACCTAAGTTTTATCTGTTGGGCCAAAAAGTGTAAAAATTTAATTCAAGGCTCCTGATATATTGTTACAATATCAGTTGAAAAATATTAAAAATACATAGGCACAATTTTTTTTTATAAGCATTTTAACATCGAATTTTGATAGAATTTTTCAAAATCTCGAAAATTATTAATCATCGTAATTAATAAATTATAAAATGTTCAGTTTTTATAGCTAAGGATTGAAAATTTAAAACAAGATTCCACGTAAGTAGTTAATTCTCTTACCGAAAAATCTAAAAAATATACAATCACAGTTTACTTTTATAGTCATTTTATGTTCAAATTTGGACGAAATTACATATTAAAAAACCTAGTTATTTTGTTGTGATTATATAATATTATTCGTGGGTACCTACTTGAAACTTCTAAAGTGTACTATTATATATATATGATAGTATCAGGGTTTGTTGTTGGTGTATAACGTGTTATAAGTACCTAATGGATATTGTGATATGATTAATTTGGAATTTATTTTAGGTCAATTTTTTTTTTAATACCATAGATATGTATATAATTTGTCTTAAACCTAGACTGATATACCGTCTTCGCTCAGAAAAGTTTTTCTTATACAATGATATTGAATCATTGAATTCAAATTTAATAGCATCCATTATACAGTGACCCACTTGTAACCTACTGTACAGCAGAGCGACATCCACTTATTTTAATTTGCTACTGCTGAATATGGGTTTCAGTTTAATATAAAGAAGCACACTTTAGACAAAATACAGGATAATACTGCACAATTTATAATGGTTTTTTTTAAAAAAGCAAAAAATGTAGGTACCTACCTATATTCTAAATGTAGAATGTATTATTTAATTATATTACATTATGTGTTTGTAATAATTACATGAGAATTCAATATTGTTTTACTTGTTATAATAATCACGACTTCATCTTCTTTGTAAACATAAGTAATTTTGGGTATCAAAAATATAACAATTTAAAATAAAATGTAGTGATTTTTCAAAACTTTTCAGTAAACTTAGTAAAAAATTTTGTACCTTTTGTCTGTAGATTAAAAAATATTTTGTAGGGTAAAAACGAGCACTATGAGTGCTTTTTTATATGTGAGTGGATTTGTCTATCGACCTTTATATGAAATCAAAATCACAAGTGAGTGTTTTTTGGATTTGAAATTTATATACAAATTAAACAGATCCCATAAGGCCTTTAACTATTGTTCAAACCGTTCGATACCATATCGTTTACTTCACCTTTGATGGTAGTATCCTCGGTCGCCACGTGGGGGACGATGGGTGACGAAATGAAGCGCAGAGTTGCTTCGGTGTACGGCATGTCCGGCTTGTCGTAGAGACAGACCAAACGTTGGCCGCCGGTGACTTGTTTGGCTTCATCCCGGATTGCTTGGGCCACTTGGGGTCTGGAAGCCACCATAGACAGTGCGAGCATGACCATGTTGCCAACGGCCGAATGACCGCCGATAAAATCTTCCAATTCGAACAGCACGTGGTTCATTTTGAGCCCAGGCTCCTCGCGCAGGCTCATAAGCAAGGCATCTGTGAAGTCTGTTGGTTCCTGCTCGTCGTCGTCATCGTCGTTATCGGCAGCGTACTCATTTTTGTCACGACTTCGATCACCGTCTAACGCCGCGGCCACAGCCTTTGCGTAACTGCTCCTCTTCGACACAACCATGTCCATTATGAACTGTCTGATTTGCGTCGACCATTTGGACAGCTTTCTCATGTGACCCAAGTAAAACAGCTTCAGCCATGGCAAAAAGTCTAAGGCGTAACCATGGTTGATATATCAGAATATCTCGTCAAACGTTCGGACCATGTGTTGGAACTCGGGGTCGTCGTACTCGAATTGCGTCGAACACATGAACCGGATGAACATGTTGGCACAGGCCATCAACAACAAATGCTTCAATTGTACCTCGCACTCGGAACCCCGGACGGTGACTGTAGCCAACGAGTCCAAAAACACTTCCAGCTCATTGGACGAAATATAGTCCAGCAGATTATAGTTGGATGAACACACTTTCGGGGAACAATATGCCCGAGCTATCTTCCGTCTAGTCTCTTGAAGCCATGACCAATCACATAGAGCCAGTGCTAAAGAAAAGAAAAAAAGGTGGGTAAGTGGATGTCGCTCTGCTGTACAGTAGGTTACAAGTGGGTCACTGTATAATGGATGCTATTAAATTTGAATTCAATGATATAATATCATTGTATAATAAAAACGATTCTGAGCGAAGAGGGTATGTCAGTCTAGGTTTAAGACAAATTATATACATATCTATGGTATTAAAAAAAAAATTGACCTATAATAAATTCCAAATTAATCATATCACATTATCACAATATCCATTAGGTACTTATAACACGTTATACATCAACATCAATAACAAACCCTGATACTATCATAGATATATAATAGTACACTTTAGAAGTTTCAAGTAGGTACCCACGAATAATATTATAATATTAATAATAATATTTATAATATTATAATCACAACAAAATAACTAGGTTTTTTAATATGTAATTTCGTCCAAATTTGAACGACTATAAAAAAAAACTGTGATTGTATATTTTTTAGATTTTTCGGTAAGAGAATTAACTACTTACGTGGAATCTTGTTTTAAATTTTCAATCCTTAGCTATAAAAACTGAACATTTTATAACTTATTAATTACGATGTTTAATAAATTTCGAGATTTTGAAAAATTCTGTCAAAATTCGATGTTTAAATGCTTATAAAAAAAAACTGTCAGTGAAACATTCAGTGAAATTTTCATGTATCTACAGTAATTCGTTTTTGAATTACAACACAAAAAGGGAAATCGCCACATGAGAAATCGAATGAATATCCAATGTTGTAAAAATTTGAATTTCAAACGCTCATAAAAATTTAATTTGACTTTCTTAATAGACATTTTTTTGATGTGTAAACATCGGTTTGTACTTTGTAGTATAAATAGATACAAATAGATATAAATTATAATAGTACACTTTAGAAGTTTCAAGTACCCACGAATAATATTATTCAATCACAACAAAATAACTAAACTAGTTATTCTAGGTTTTTTAATATGTAATTTCGTCCAAATTTGAATTTAAAATGTCTGTAAAAAATAACTGTGTTCATATTTTTTTAGATTTTTTGGTTACAGTATGAACTATTTACGAGAACCTTTGTGTTGAATTTGCAATCCTTAGCTATTAAAACTGAACATTTTATAATTTATTAATTACAATGATTGATAATTTTCGAGATTTTGATAAATTTTGTCAAAATTTGATCTTTAAATGCTTATAAAAAAAAACTGTGCCTATGTATTTTTAATATTTTTCAACTGATATTGTAACAACATATCAGGAGCCTTGTATTAAATTTTTACACTTTTTGGCCCAACAGATAAAACTTAGGTAATTGATATTTATAGAAAAAAAAACTAAAAAAAATTGAAAGCTGTAAATGTCCATAAACAGCTCAAAAAGAGTCAAAATATTTTCATAATTGTATGGTGTATAGGAAATGCTAATATAAACATTCAGTGAAATTTGCATGTATCTACAGTTATTCGTTTTTGAATTACAACAAAATAAGGACATCGCTACATGAGAAATCGAGTTTTTAAAAAACTACTGGGAAAAAAAAAAAACACACACATCATTGTAAAATCAATACGTTCCACTCAGAATCTAAAAATAATTAATTTTGAATTTGAAACTAAGAACTTTTTTCGTATTTGTGATATCGAAAAATTAAAACAATGTTTCACATTCAATGTTCTCCTCTTTCTAGTAGGAACATTAGGTTGCATAACTTGAGCTATAGAGTTAGTGGTTCTTATCAGAGCAAAACCGTTTTTCTATGTTTTACATTTGTAAAACGGAGACCACACAATGCGGGTGTAACATCCTCTTAATAATATTTGTCATTCCGAATTTATTCAGTTCAGCGTGGCCCACAGAAAAAAAAATATATTAGTTATAACCAAAGTTATAAATAGAATATTTCGTAGCCAACCGTAAGATAATATAATTTTCTATAGTGATATGATATAATATGATTGCTGCATAGTGCATACTGTTTAATGTTTTGACAAAAACTGAAACTCTGAAACATGCATTCACACAATACTGTTTTAATCATGAATTCGTAAACAGTTGTCAATATTTGTAATGAAAAGAAAAATTCCGAAACCAATAAACCACGATAGTTTATAATTGATTGGTGAAATACTGAAATAAACTGAGGGTGCTAGTTTGAAGCTTGGGGGTGCTAAGCACCCCCAAGCACACCCCTATGTGCGCCTATGGTTATAAGTACCTAATGGATATTGTGATATGATTAATTTGGAATTCATTATAGGTACCTATTATAGGTCAAATTTTGGTTTAGTACTATAGATATGTACATATAAATATAATAAGTCTTTTAACTAGACTGACATACCGTATCCGCTCAGAATCGTTTTTCTTATACAATGATATTATATCGTTGAATTCAAATTTAATATCATCCATTATACAGTGACCCACTTGTAACCTACTATACAGCAGAGCATCTTTTTTTCTATAAAGATCAATAAAATTGTATTTGTTGGTTAAGAAAGCTTGAAAATGTAATAGAAGTCTCCTAGTATATTGTTTCAAAGGCAGATGAAAAAAAAATAAAAATTCATATTAACAGTTTTTTTTTTTATAAACATTTAAAGTTCAAATATTGACTAAATACGTAAAAATTAGGAAAATTTATAAATTATTTTGTGTTAGAAATTCATAAAAAATTTCCTTTTTAAATCTAAGATTTGAAAATGTAATACCTACAAGATTATAGAATTGTATATCTTTATAAAAAAAAAAAATGTCCTCAATTTCATTTATCCCACTGAGTAACACAACCAAAATCTCTGAACTTTAATACCAGATTTTAATGTCATTGAGTAAAAGTAATAAGAGAATTTATAGGCATTACCATCTTCATGTGCACTACTAGGAAAGCTATATTTTTTCGACAGGGCCTATTCAAAAATCTATTTTGGCTTATTGGCCCTGTCGAAAAAATATAGCTTTCCTAGTAGTGTGCATGAAGATGGTAATGCCTATAAATTCTCTTATTACTTTTACTCAATGACATTAAAATCTGGTATTAAAATAGATCTTTTAATACTACTATCATTGATATTTTCATTAAAATGAACTCTATCTAGTTGGATATTCATTCTTTAATTTCAATTCTATTATATAAAAAAATCATAAAACAAATATCACAATATTATATTGTTATATTACATTATTTAATTTATATTTACCATTGACTTATTAGCTATTTGTTCAACATCAGTAAAATTAACTTCTTCAGTATCAACAACTTGAACAACAGATTCAATTGATTCACATACACAACTGGTATTATTATTATCTGTGTCGTCAACAATATTACAACTATACATGGCTTCTATACAAAAAATATAATTTTAAATTATGCTTACTTATTATATTTTATTACTTTATTTAAAATTAAAGTTGTTTCTATCATTTTACCTAAACAATTGTAGTATGTTCAGATCGTTGTACAATTGGTTTTAAGTATTGTATTGTGTATGAATTCATTCAAAATTTGAAATCTATAATTTTGAAATTGAAACCAATTTAAATTGTTGGAACTAATTTGGTAACCACAATACTGCAGTGCTCACTAAACTTCATCCGAGGCGGCAATATTAAATAATTAATTGTTTGACAAATTGTATAAACTTTGTTTTTTGAAATAATTTTTTGAAACCTGTATGGCATTATTTAAAATAATAAAAGTATTTTTATGTATTAGAAAAAATAGTTAATAAACGTTTAAGATTTGCAAATTTATGTGTTATACATTGCATACATGTGTGGCCTAATTTCCGGCAATAAAAATGTAAACAAATATCTTATACAAAATAGGTAGACAAAATGTAACCCAAATACCGACCGCCCAATTAAACACATCTTGTAGCCCCTACACTCCCCAACTGTCTTCATCAACATACAATGTTATTACAATTTACATAATTAATTACAATATAAGTACCTAGTATACCTACGAGAGTATATGTGCGTATTTATAATGCCGTATATTCTCAAAAACACCACTGGTCCATCGGAATTCAATTAGATAGCTGATATTATAAATTATAATTTAATTATCAGTAATCATAATGGCTGTCAAATGGCAGATTTAAATATTTAAATCGAGAGTTATCGGAACGGAGTATTTTGGGATTTTACAAAACCCTTTTGGGTGTGTGTGTGTGAGTGTGCCGACTGGTTTGTTGCCAATTTTCTGCGTCCCCTGACCTTTACAATTCGATAATAATAATAATAATAATAATAACATCATAACGCGTGATTTCTTTCCTTACATTGAAAAAAAATCACGTCTAGATTTCCCCTTTATTAATTATACAGTAGTTTTCAACCCACTATGTATATACTATGGAATAAATACAATATATTATAGGTACTACAACAACTATAATATTATATAGGGCCATATACATAGTAGTGTGTTGCACTGCAGTATACGCACATTTTTATTATTATTATCATTATTATTACTATCCTCCTTCTATATTATTTTTTAAATATTCGTATATTACGCAATTTGCTGCCAGCTTGTATATTATTATACATGTTTAGAATATCCGATACCGGTTCGATATTTGGCCGGAATCTTTGTTAGACAAAATATTG